CCTTCATGCAAAAGCTGCGAAACTTCTCCCAGTACGGTTCGTATGTGTTGATTGTTGATTCCGATCGTGTCTTGGCTGTCATAAGAAGTAGCTGGTGATGCAACCTTGGAAGCATATCTGTAATCATAGGATACAAGAATGGTACATCAAGGTTTGTAATTGAATTTCAGTGCTAAGATACGACTGACTGGAAGACCAGCACCCGAGAATGCATGTTCATGGGAGCCCACATGCAAGCATTGACTACCACTAGCAAGGTAGAGGATGGAGGAGATGCCGATTGCCCAGGTGTGTGGGGAAGGTCTGATTAGGGGCCACCAAGCAGCGCCTGTCCATTCGGGAACGACTAGTGTCATCGTGGCGTTCGTGCGTGCGGCATGGTGCAAGGTCGCTGGGATGAGGTTCGGCGGCGGGAACGCGAAGCCGTGCTCTAATCCCCAATCGAGCGAGAATGCATTTATGGCAGTTGCACGTGGGTGCGGATGTTTAGCGCAGAAGCGCGGGAGCTGTGCGTTGTTGGCATTGGCGAATAGGTCGATGGTGTGTGATCCCCAACGCCTTTCCAATAATCGAAACCAGGGGAGCTTGAGCGAGAGTCGTCGTGGTCTTCCAATTTGGACAGTGCATCTGCATGCGTATTGAGAGCACGTGGAATCCATTCGATGGCCAGACGGGTTTCGTGCGCCATGCAAATTGCGACGATGGCCTTGCACAGAAGAGTGAGCTCAGGCTGGCGAGAGCCGCCTTTGCGCAGAATGAAGAAGACGCCTTGGTTGTCTACTCGCATGAGTACGCGGCGACCTTGGATCTGGTCCTTGAACGTCTGCAGTGCCCATAGCACTCCCTCGAGCTCTCGGCGTGTGCTCGATGTGGAGAGAAGTTCTTTTGGCATGGGGCTGCTTCCTTGCGAGCTTCCGCCGGGGAAGGATGAAAGGGTTGCACCCCAACTGTGTGCGCTAGCGTCGACGTGAATGACCGTGTCCAGACTGTGGGGCATGTGAAAAGGAGCCCCGTTAAAATGGTCGAAGTGGTCAAACCAAAATTGTAGCTCGTCGCGAACTTCCGAGGTCAGGGTCACTCGTGCATTCCATGATGGCGCCTCATTAATGAGTGTCAAAAGTTGATGGCTGAAAGAGCGCGCCGTCGCACCAAGGGCGAGCGCCATGGATGCAAGGATGCCGGTGACGCGGGCGACGAGGCGGATTGATACCCGCTGGTTGCGCTCGTAGGCGAGAAGCAGCACATGTAGTGCTTGTGTGAGTTGCGCCTTTCTCTCCTGGCCGATAGTGAACCTTCCGGATGCGGTGTCCAGCTCCATTCCGAGGAAGTGCAATTTTTGAGTCGCGATCAGGTGCGACTTTTTTGCGTTGATGACGAGCCCCGACTCCTTGAGGTCTCGAATGACTGCACCACTTTTCAAACGAGCGTCCTGTTCCGAGTCGCAAAGGAACAATATATCGTCCACATAGGGTATGACCCGAATGCCTTGCGCTCGCCATTTCCGTGCCAACTGCTTGATCAACTGGGTGAACAGGAAGGGCGCTGTAGCGAGGCCGAACGGCAACGACTTGAAAACATAGTCGGTGCCTTCAAAGTGAAAACCTAGAAATGACCAGCAAGATGAGTGAATATCGACATGATGATAGCCAGACTTTAAGTCAACCGAGAACATCCAGTCGCCCGGCTTCGCCAGTTCAGCGACACGAAGAAGTCCTTCGTACTTGAATTTGGGGACAATTAGGTATTGATTGACCTTTCGCAAGTCGAGAATGAGGCGGCACTTGTTGCGTTGTTCCACAACGTTGAGTGGGCTGATGCATGTAACGGCCGATGAGCTAGATGCAACTGCTGCTGCTCCTGACGTGAGCAATTCCTGAATTGCCGATCGGGTGAAGTCGGTGTGCTTCAAGACTCCGGCGTGATTTTGCTCACGGAACGGCGGTGGTGAGAATGCCTTCCAAGGAAGCCAATATCCATTGACAATGACCGACAGGATCAAGGAGCTCTCGCACCAGGAAGCCCACCAAGCGAACGCCTGTCGGAGGCGACCACCCATGGTTGTGACATCACGATCGGTAACCGCATTTGCCAAGATCTCGTCCTGCTCCCCGGACCATGAAGGCGTTGTGGCTGCCATGGGGTGTTTCGTTGCGGGATGGCAGAGGTACAGGATCGAACCATGACGTTCAAATTACGTGAAATGTATCGGCGCGCACGTATGAGCAGGTCATTCACGCATAACGACATGCACCTCGTGGTTTTGATAAGGGTAATGAGGTTGCGAGTGCACGTGAGTGAGGTGCGGCTAAGAATCTGTTGGATACAACATGTATCACCCCTCTTTGTGGGTGTCAAAGTGAGAACCGTTCAAGCGAGGGTCCATGCGCGTTGCGCACGCGCTTCTCTTTCTTCTTCTTCCTCTCTCTCTCTCTCTCTCTCTCTCTCTCTCTCTCTCTCGCTCTCTCTCTCTCTCTCTCTCTCTCTCTCTCTCTCTCTCTCTCTCTCTCTCTCTCTCTCTCTCTCTCTCTCTCTCTCGCAAGGCATGTCAGCTGGATGGCTTGGTAACAACTGGCACTATTGGCCACGGGAACTCACTATGCCTTGCCATGCGAAGCGTTGTGACTTTCTCATGCTATTGAGTTGGTCGTTGCTCTCTCTCTCTCTCTCTCTCTCTCTCTCTCTCTCTCTCTCTCTCTCTCTCTCTCTCTCTCTCTCTCTCTCTCTCTCTCTCTCTCTCTCTCTTTTTTGGTGACATAACTTGTCATAGGCTGGATCTCCAAGGCCAATGACCTGAGCAACATTCCATTATAATTAGAAATACAACTTCATAGCCACCCAGGCTTTGCGTAAAAACGCACACACACGCATACACACGTACACAAACAGCCTAGGGCACTCCATGCCTCTAGCTTTTGGCTAAGCAGCCACTACCAAGGACCCCTGGTCCACACGCGGCCCAGCCCACACCCCACCCTCCATCAAAGGCACCCAAGGTATGAGAACCTTGGGTGCGGGGAGATGGGAGGGCGAGGTTGCTTGGGGCTTATCTCACACCACCGGTGCGGGCCCATTGCCCCCATGGCCTCCATGGGGGCATGCGCTAGCCATGTGGCCATTCTGGCCGCAGCGGAAACAGGTTCCCTTGAAGCCCCGACAGCCGTTGCCGCTGCCCATGGTCTTTGGCACCAAGTGGGGGGAGTCGCGGTGAAACGGACGGCTCCCGCGGGCGAAGCCGGTCTTCATACGCTTGAGGGCTGCCATATCCGCCACCGCCATCTTGAAGGAGCGTGAGGTGAGCACCGCCGTAGTCTTGAGGAGCTGGTAGCGCTCAGCCACGTCGAACCCGGCATGGTCGGCGACGACCAAGACGTCGAAGCGGCGCTTGATGAGGTCTTGAGCTTGACCGACGGTTTTAAGAGCACCGGCGGCGTCGCCTCCGCGGATCTTGTGTTCCACGTGTGCCAGGTAGGTCTGAAGTGCCTCGAACACCTCCGCCTGGTCACGGACGCCTTTGCGGTTGAAGGCGGCGGCCGCGGTGGAAGGGTGAGGAGAGGGGAGAGGGGGGAGGAGATCATTAGGCACGAGGGGCATAGGATTGTTTGGTTCCTCACCCGCATCGCTGTCGGAGTCGGAATCAGCGTCGTCGGGGTTTGTAGCGGGTTCATCTTCGACGGCTGGCGCCTTTCCCTTGTCGGCGCGGTGAGATGCGGCGACTCTTGCGGAAGTGGCGACGTTGTTGCGAATGTTTGCAGTTTTAGCGGAAGCGAAATTTTCCGCTTCTGTTGTAGCTGCTGGCGTTGTAACGGGGGCCGCGGCCTGCTTTTGGAGGAGCGCCAGCAGTGCCGCCACTTGTGAGGGCGAAAGATTCGCCGCCGCCCCTTCGGTTGCAGGCGAATCCGTCGCCCTCCGCTTTGGGGTGGCGCGCGATCCTCCCGCGTCAGCGCCAGTGATGACGACGAAGTCGTCATCATTGGCGACTGCAGGCCCATGAGCCTGCTCGTGGGACGCGCGTGGCTGGGGAGCGCGCGAGCGTGTGCCGCCGCCCTCGCCGAGCAGCACGTCCACCCCAGTGCTGGGGCCCTCGGCGTTTTCCTCGGTGGGGCGTTTTCGCTTCTCCGCGCCGGTTTCCCGGGTCGTTTTCTCAAGCCCCGAAGAAGGTCGAGGAGTTGCGTCCTTAGCCCCGGGGCTATTGTTGTTCGTCGATGCCATAGTCGAAAGGTTGCGGTCGAGGATGTCGGAGAGGAGCGTCGATGGAGAAGTGAAGCGAGGAAGGCTCTTAGTCCTCGCCAGCTTGGACGAAAAAAATCGAGAACTTGAAAACTGAAAGTTTGAAATGAAAAACGTGGGTGAAGGCCAAATGGCCTTCGCCCCCTCTTTTATACCGAAAAAGAGGGGAAGTAGCGGTTCGCCGAAGCATTTTGCTTCGGTACAAATATCTTCGCTATTCACAATACACAATTTTAGAAAGTGTTACACACTTTAAAAAATTTACATTTTGTGTGACACGTTGCGTCGCACAAGTTGGCGACGTCGCGTAGTTACTGTAGCGATTTCAAGTCAACAAATTGGTCGACTGGCGAGACGACTGCTCGTCGGAACTTTGTCGAATGCTGAACCGGTCATCAATTTTTTAACAAATGGCCGGATTTGGCGAAGTGTACGAAGATTTGTGCGATTGTCGCAAATGCGTTACTTTCGCTAATTCCGGCCGGCCGGATTTTTCCAACAACGGATCTGACGCACCCTTACCCCATGTGTCGACCATTCTTCCTCGTATTCACATCCTGCAGGTTCGTCACCGGTTAACCCACCCACTCCTGTCATGTCCACTCTTTATCTAAATCGTCACCATCAGCAAGGACGAATTTGCCGCAGCTTACACAACAGCCAGCATTATTCACTACTGAATAATGGCAATTATTTTAAGGAATCAGCATAACCACCCAACAATAACTACCAAATTTATGTACAACCTTCTAAAAAGTCCAAGCCAGTACACATCATTCCCACGTGGTCACCACACCAGCCCTGTCCCCAGTGACCAGAGGCAACCCACAGCTTCCCCACACACTCGTCAAGATAGGCGCTGCAGCAGCAGCAGCACCAGCTGCACCCGAGGCCAAGCCAGCAGAGCCACCTGAACCAGCACCTGAACCGGCACCTGAAGCCAATGCCAGGTGCCTCAGGTGGCGCTCCACAGCAGCGGTGCGTCTGCTCCACACAACCACCGACCCATCCATGCTGCCGGCTGCCACGTACTCGTCTGTCGGACTCACACACGCACGGCTCCAATTAGACGCCACTCTGAACCCATGCGGACCCCTCAGCACCTGCTTGGCTGCCAGAGACCGCAGGTCAAACACGCGGAGAATGTTATCCCGCCCGCAAGTCACCAAGTCATATATGCTCGCTGCAGACGCGCCGCCGCCGCTGTGCCGAGCCGAGACCGCCGAGGAGGAGAGGGAGAGAGAGGTGATGGCGGAGGAGTGAGCAGCCACTTCGTTGGCTAGCTTTCCCGACCGCACGTCCCACATGCGCAGGTGCCCGTCTGCGTGGCCAGAGCAGAGCGCGGAGAGTCCCCCAGGGGCGAAGCGTAGGGAGTTGCAGTTGCTGTGGCAGAGGAGAGTGACTGTGGCGAAGCCGCGCTCCAGGTCCCACAGCTTCATGCTGCGGTCATAGGCCGCGCTGATAGCCCGTGCGCTGCTGCTGATGCCGCCGCTGCCGATACCTCCTCCCCCAGTTGCACCTGCGCCGCCCCCGGTTGTGCCTCCACCGCCGCCTCCTCCTCCTCCTCCCCCCCCTCTATGCTCGTCCACGTCCACTGCTACTACCTTGTCCGTGTGCCCTGTCAGCGTGTGCCGCAGCTGCCACGTGGCAGCATCCCATAGGTACAGCTTGTGGTCCGAGGACGCCGCCAGCAGCGCAGAAAACCCGTGCGGGAGCATCGGGCCCGAATCCGCACCACCACCACCACCACCACCACCACCACCACCACCACCACCACCGCTGCTGCGCCTCCTGCCGTCCGCTCCCCCTCCCCCTCCCCCTCCCCCACCACCCCCACTTCCCAGCACGGCGAGGTCCATAACCGCTCCCAGGCACCCTCTAGCCGTGTCCAGCAGCGCCCCTCGGTGCGCATCCCACACCTTCACGGCGCCATCCTCCCCGCCTGTGATCACGCGGTGGCCCGCAGCGCTCATGGCGAGCGAACAGCACGCGGCGTCGTGGCAGCGGAGGGAGCGCAGGGCGCGCGAGGGCGCGTGTGTGGAGACGAGGCGGGGGGAGACGCCTGGTTCGGCGAGTTGGAGGATGCCGAGGGGTTGCTGGGCGGCCAGGTGCTGCAGGGAGCGGGAGGAGGCTCGCGTGCGCTCCACTAGATCCTCGTACAGTTGATTGGCCTGCAGGAGAGGGGAAAGCCGTGGCATGTGTGGCATGTGTGGCATGTGTGGCATGTGTGGCATGTGTGGCATGTGTGGCATGTGTGGCATGTGTGGCATGTGTGGTACGTGTGGCATGTGTGGCATGTGTGGCATGTGTGGCATGTGTGGTACGTGTGGCATGTGTGGCATGTGTGGCATGTGTGGCATGTGTGGCATGTGTGGCATGTGTGGCATGTGTGGTACGTGTGGCATGTGTGGCATGTGTGGCATGTGTGGCATGTGTGGCATGTGTGGCATGTGTGGCATGTGTGGCATGTGTGGCATGTGTGGCATGTGTGGCATGTGTGGCATGTGTGGCATGTGTGGCATGTGTGGCACGTGTGGCATGTGTGGCAAGTGTGGCATGTGTGGCATGTGCGGTACGTGTGGCATGTGTGGCATGTGTGGCATGTGTGGCATGTGTGGCATGTGTGGCATGTGTGGCATGTGTGGCATGTGTGGCATGTGTGGCATGTGTGGCATGTGTGGCATGTGTGGCATGTGTGGCATGTGTGGCATGTGTGGCATGTGTGGCATGTGTGGCATGTGTGGTACGTGTGGCATGTGTGGCATGTGTGGCATGTGTGGCATGTGTGGCATGTGTGGCATGTGTGGCATGTGTGGCATGTGTGGCATGTGTGGCATGTGTGGCATGTGTGGCATGTGTGGCATGTGTGGCATGTGTGGCATGTGTGGCATGTGTGGCATGTGTGGCATGTGTGGCATGTGTGGCATGTGTGGCATGTGTGGCATGTGTGGCATGTGTGGCATGTGTGGCATGTGCATTGGTTAAGTGGGTAGGTTTTTGAGGCGCCTGGAAAGAAAAGCGGGAGGAGGCGCGCATGCGCTCCACCAAATCCTCGTGAAGCTGATTCGCCTGGTGGGACATGCATGCCGCATGCGCGTGTGTGCGAAGCACAGGGGATGGGACACATGCGGGTTGCTGTGCACACATGTACAAAGGGTGAGAGCGCGGGGAGAGAGAGAGGAGGATATGTTGGCCATATAGTGGATTACAAGTGAGAGCTTGAGCGCACCTCATTGAGGGCGTCAGCCTGGTGCAGCTTGAGGTGCGTCCACCGGTCCACCAGCATGCGGTTCTCGCGCTCCACACCCGCTGCTTTCTCCTCTGCTGCCGCACACTTCCTTCCAGGCGTGGGCCTGATACAATGCCAACCCCCACCCTTCCTTCCTGTTTCCCTCCCCCTTCCCCTGTTACCCCTGTTCCCTGTCACGCCATCCCACTGTAACCCACCCCCTCCCCCTCTCTTCCCGCTCCTCCCCCTCAACCCCCCTTCATCCGCACCTCATTGAGGGCGTCAGCCTGGTGCAGCTTGAGGTGCGTCCACCGGTCCACCAGCATGCGGTTCTCGCGCTCCACGCCCGCTGCTCTCTCCTCCGCTGCGCGCACCTCCGCCCGGCACGCCGCTGCCTCTGCTGCCGCCAGCTCGATAGCTGCCTCCTTCTGCTGCACTGTTCCCCGCAGCTCCTGCACTGCCTCTCTGTGGGAATCACACCCAAGCCATGCCACACCAGATTCATGCCAAGGCACACAGGGGAACGAGAATAGGGAGGGTCAGGGATGGAGGGAGGAGAGTCACAAGCCCCAGCATTGCCAGCAGTTCCTAAGAAAGTAAACGCGTTACATTCACCACTAATGCCCCGCCCTGGCATTGCTTGCCAGCAGTAGTGCTGGCAGAGCGGGTCAGTAGCACAAGCAGCTTGGGCGGGTCAGAGCAGCTGCACTGCATGCAGCACTGGCTTGGCTTGGGCACCAACAAACTTTGGTTACCACCCCCCAAAACCCAGCCCCCCATCACCCATCCCTCATCCCTTTCCCCAACCCCCCATACCCCTTTCGTCCATCTCCCCTTTCCCTAGGCCCCATCCCTCATCCCACATCTCTTTCCGCTTTCCCCCAACCCCATCCACCTTCCGCCCCTCCACCACTCTCCTCCCCCCCATGCCAAGAGCAGCGCACAGTTCCTTCGCCAGAGCGCGATCCCCTCTGCCCTGAATTGACGCCCGCATTGCCCCAGAGTTTCGCCACCGCCACCACCACCACCACCACCACCACCACCCGCCGCCACGTTTGGAGTCTTACAAGCCATCACTCGTCCCCTACCCCCCCGCCCCCCCTCATCCCTCATTCCCATGGCGCTTCCCCCAACTCCCTCCCTCCCCCTCTCTCGCCCACCACCCCCAACGCACTGCGCAGCGCGCAGCTCCTCCTCCAGAGCGCGGATGCGCTCCGCCCTTACTTTTGAGTCCCGCAGCGCCCTACTCAAAAGTCTTCCAGAGCGCGGATGCGCTCCGCCCTTACTTTTGAGCCCCGCAGCGCCCTACTCAAAAGTCTTCCAGAGCGCGGATGCGCCCCCCCCCTTGATCTGATACCCGCGCCGCCCCTCAGCGCCGCCCCATCCCGCCACTGCTATCACCCACGCGCCCGCCCACCCGCCGCCACGCGTTGCCACGCTTGGCTGCACCGTTACAACAACAAGCCATCACTCCCTCCCTAACCCCCAATTCCCCATCCCTCTTTCCCATCGCCCTTCCCCCACCGCCCATCACTCAACCCTCACTCCCCCTTCTCTCTCCCTTTCCTCTCCCCCACTTCCTCCTCTCCCCCCCCAACGCACTGAGCAGCGCGCAGCTCCTCCTCCAGGGCGCGGATCCTCTCCGCCTTGATGCCCGCATCGTCCCTCAGCGCCGCCACTGCCGCCACGGCCGTCACGAGCTCGCCACTGGCCTGCGCTGCCGTGCGCCCACTCGCTGCCACGTCCGCTGATAGCTGCTCCACTCGCTGCTGGAGCGAGGTCACCTGCTCCGACTGTTGACCGAAGTGGGTGGGGGGACGGGGGGGGAAGAGGGGGTTTGGGTTTGGAGGGAGGGGGGATGCACAGGGAGGAGGGAGGCCACTCGCCGCCACGTGCGCTGATGGCTGCTCCACGCGCTGCTGGAGAGAGGTCACTTGCTCCGACTGGTGGTGGTGGGGGGCGGAGGGGGGAGGGGGAAGCGGGTTTGGAGGGGGAAGGCAAGGGCCACTCGCTGCCACGTCCGCTGATAGCTGCTCCACTCGCTGCTGGAGTGATGTTATCTGCTCCGACTGATGGCGGGGGAGGGAGGGGAGGAGGAGAGGAGGGGGAGGGGAAACAGGGATGAGGGAACATGTGGCGGAAGGATGGGAGACAGGGGAGAGAAAATGAGATGTCTGATGAGGAGGTGAATGGGAGAAGAGTGGGGAGATAATACTGAGATAGAGTGGGTAAAAGAGAGAAGGATTCACGTGGGGGGAGGAAGAACTGCAGATTGAGCTTGTAACGCGTACAGTGGCGGTGGATTCGTTAATCGCCATGAGCTGCGCCAGCAGCGCCGCCTTCTCCTCCTGCAGGCTCGCGGCGCGCACGCGCTCCGCCTCGCACTGCCGCTGCCACGTGGCGGCCTGCGACTGCAGGCGCGTGTGGCTGTGAACGAGGTCGGCGAACGGTTGTGTTTGGCGAAGGTCGCGAGCGTAGAGCTGCTCGCACACGCTGGCGATGGCTGACACGTGGCGAAGCTGAAGGAACTGATGAAGCGGATGGGGAGCATTCTGTTGGTTCTCACGGGTGACTGTAGAAGCAGCATGATCCTGAGAGGGAGTTGCCATAGCGGCAACCTGAAGGGACGGGAAGAAGGACGGCCGAGAGGCAGAAGAGTTCTTACACGGTTCAGCCCGTTGCAGTACGGTACAGACCCGAACAGTACGTCCCAGTACGGCACAGTAAAACGCGGCAAAGACAAAGACCGGCTACAGAATATCTCCCTCCGGCAACGGTACAGTACTCGCTCGCTCGCTGCTCTTCAGTCTCGGACGGAACGCCTGGGCAACGCAAACGCAACGGCGAGGGAACTCAACTCACCCAACCGAAGCACGAGTCGCGCGCGGTGAAAGGAACAACACAACACGGCGTTCAGAAAACCCTAGAGCCCATCCCAGAAGCTAGCTGCTAGGCAAGTATCCGCGCGGACCGAGACATTAGAGGCGGCAGCGTTGAATACGCGCGGATACACTATTCGTTTGACGCATTTGCCGGGAACACATGAAATCGTGTGGTGGAAACTGCGTGTGCCTGCGAGGTGTTGTCGCTGTGTAAAACAAGCCGCGGTTCGATAAGAGCGGGCCGTTTCAAGTCGAAAGCGCTGGTGTTGCTGCTGCACATGCGCACTTTAGATTTGTTTTCTGCTTATTTTCCCATAACCCATGCAATAAATTACATTCAAACAATGATACAGCTCAGGGAACAAGGAAGTCGAATTAAAACCAGCTCCAACCATCGCTGCCTCTCCTACCATTGGTCAGCAGCAACAAATCCACAACACACGACCAGCAAGAGAAGCTCGTAGACCCACCTAAACACACATCCCACACTTGCCACACAAACTGCTGCTGCTGCTGCTGCTGCTGCTGCTGCCCTGCCACCCCCCCATCCACATGCACATCACACCTCCCAGCTATAAAAAGCGACGCAACTGTCTGCGCAGTAGCTCCAGCACCGGTATCGCCAGCAGCACCACCACCACCAGCAGCAGCAGGCTCTGCTGTTGCGGAGAAGGCTGGATCGGAGGGGGTAGGTGGGGCCATGCAGGTCCAACCTCTGGGCAGAGAGGTCACCAGCTGCGATGGGGACGGAACGGGGGGACGAAACGGGGAGGGGGGGGGAGGTGGGGAGGGGGACAGGGAGCGAGAGATGAATGGGTAAGCAGAGAAGGACGGCGCCCAACAAGCCGATGGAAACTGATCAACTTCTTTTGGGTCGACTCCTAAAGGTAGGTGGGGTGGGGCCATGAAAGACCACCCTCTCGGCAGAGAGGTCACCAGCTGCAAATGGGGCGAAACGGGGACATGGAGCAAGAGATGCATGGACACACAAGGAAGGAATTTAATCAACAAGACGGTAAAATGATTACAGCACATGGAAATGCTTTTGAATATGGAGTGCCGGTCCACGAGGCGGAGCTTGAAGGAGTGGCCGGCGTGCCAGGGAGACGAGGGGCTGGCGTGCCAGGGAGCCAGGGGGCCTGGGGGGTTCAGGGAGACAAGGGGCCGGGGGGTCAGGGGGCCGGGGGGGCCAGGGGGCCGGGGGGTCAGGGGGCCGGGGGGTCAGGGGGCCGGGGGGGCCAGGGGGCCGGGGGCCTGGGCGGCCGGTGGGGAGCGTGGGTGGGGAATGAAGGCATGGAGAACACGGTTGGGTGCAATGCATGGTGCCTACCATCACCTGACATTCCCCGAGTGTGCACATCAACAAAGCCTTCAGATTCGGCACCCTCAGCCGCTTGTAAGGAGACGGCTTTTGAAACGTCTCAACAGTCACAGTGCTCTCGCTCACCTGACATTCCCCAGGTATGGACATCCACCGAGTCTTCCAATTCAGCACTCTCAGTTGTGCCGCTTGTAAGCTGACGATACTTTTGAGTCGACTCAACAGTCACACAGTGCTCCCCCTCACCTGGCATTCCCCGGGTTTGGACATCCACAGAGTCTTCAGATCCGGCACTCTCAGCCGCTGCCGTTGCACCTGCACCAGCCACCCTGTCGACTCACCCTCCTCCTCTCCCCCTGCACCCTTCCCTTTTTCCCTTTCCGATGCTCTCCCCACGTGCACGCTGGCGATGGGGCGGGGCAGGTACAGCTCTGGTCCACCCGCTTCGTCCCACGCCCAGAGGGAGGAGTGGAGGGAGGAGGCGGGGGAGAGGGAGAAGGAGCGCATGGCATCGAGCTCCTTTGGTGGTAACCCTTCCAGTAGCGGCTGCTCGCTCAGTGCTCGTGCTGCTGCTGCTGCTGCATGGGCTGCTGAATGTGAAGAGATGGGTTGAGGTGATAAGGCTTGTTGAGGTGATGAGGTGGGGTGTGGGTGTGCTTTGGAAATAGCCCGCGCTGTGGAAGTTGGGTCTGCAGCAGATAGTGGCTGTACTACTTCCGCTGCTCGTCTGGCTGGTGCTGTAAACTCCAATGTGCCTCTCTCTATCACCTCCTGCTGCTGCTCCTGTTCCTGCTGCCGTGGTGCCTGCTTGTCTGTCAATGCCTCATCGGCAGTGCTCTCTTTGGCAGGCTGCCAAGGTGACTCATACTCCTCGCTCCACTCATCCTCGCCCCTGCCCCATCCCTCGTCTGCTCCCCCCCCAGCCTTGTGCATACCCGCTGCATCACCCACCGCTGCTGCGTCATCACCACCAGGACTGGAATCAGCACCACCCCCAGCAGCAACACCACCATCAGCAGCAGCAGCAGCAGCAGCATCCGCGGCATGGGCAGGAGGATCAGTCTCCGGGAGGGAGAGAAGGGCGGAGTAGGAGGAGGCGAGCTGCAGCGAGACGTGGTCCCCCAGGGCGTGGTGGCGAGCTGTGTTGGCGAGATGGCACACTTGCAGGGAGGGCCAGCGCAGCAGGAAGCGCAGCAGCTGCGCCAACAACCACCGGTGCTGTGTGGGGGATGGGGAGAGGGGGAGGGGGGGGGAGGGGGGGAGTGAGACGGGGAGGGGGAGGGGGAGGGCGGAGAACAGAGGGTGGAAGGCAGAGCGGGAGAGTTAGGCTCGTAGGGAGGATATGCAGGGAAACGTCGTGGGGAGGATATTGGGGTTGGGGTGAGAGTGAGATGCTGTTGTGAAACAAAAGCTTGTGATGGGAAAAGGGGAGGTGAAGTGAAGGAGAGAAAGAAGGAGAGAAGGAGGAGTTAGAGGGATGATAATGCCCAACATGAGACTTGGAGTTTGTTTCGAAGCCTGACTGGGTGAGGAATCGAGAGAGTGTCGTGAGAGAGTGCCATGAGAGAGTGTAGTGAGAGAGTGTAGAGGGTAAGGGAGCACATAAGAGACTTTCAACAGAAAGGCATTTTCTGTCCTTCCTTAGGGCGCCTGAAAGTCAAGCTAAAAGAAAAGCAGAGTGGTGCCATGGCGAAGGAGAGACATTTGATGCCTTGTGCAGGAAGGGCAGGCAGGTTACCTTGATGGAGGCGTCTGCGTTTGAGACATTCGCTATGCCTTGTGCCCAGGGGCGGTCCCACCCCCTGATGATGGCCATGCATGGGGACGCAGAAGAAGGAGGAGGAGTAGGAGAAGGGGACGAAGAATGAAAGCAGGTCTCGATTAGAGGCATCGTGGGGATAGGGACGAGAAACGTGGAAAAAACAAGAGAATTTTGATTAGAGAAGCATAAATTAGGGTGGAGAAATTCGATGGGAGTAACGGCATGAGCAAGGAGGAAGAGGCAACAGAGGAAGCAGTGGTGGTGGAGGAGGAGGAAGAGAGGAGGAGGAGGAGGAGGAGGAGGAGGAGGAGGAGGAGGAGGAGGAGGAGGAGGAGGAGGAGGAGGAGGAGGAGGAGGAGGAGGAGGAGGAGGAGGAGGAGGAGGGAGGAGGAGGAGGGAGGAGGAGGAGGGAGGAGGAGAACGAGGAACTGACTTGGCCTTGGCAATGCGCTGATCAAGGTGCGCCAGTACCAGCTTGTGTCGTGTTTTGAGTCGACTCAAAACACGACTCATTTACACGAGGAGGAGGAGGAGAAACGAGGAGGAACTGACTTGGCCTTGGCGATGCGCTGAGCAAGGTGCGCCAGAACCAGCTTGCCTCTGCTCGTGCCAACAAGCCTCGGCACGTAACCCCACATCCAAAGTCCATTCCGCGCCCCTCCCACTCCGCCCGCTCTTCCCACTCCTGCCGCTTCCCCGTCCTCCTCTCGTCCCTCCTGTGCTGCGCTCCCAGCAGCAGCGTCTCCGGCGGCAGCGGTTACGAAGTCAGGTGGTAACCACACGACGGGGTCGTCTGACAGTAGATGCTTCTCCAGGGTGGCAGGGGCCGATGGACGGTTAAGATTGGTCGTGGCAGCGAGATGGAGGGCTGTCGATTGACATGCCGCGGACGTGAGCGGGAAGAAGAGGCAGTGGAAGGACGCCTGGCACGTCCCAGAGGAGAGAGAAGGGGAAAGGAGAGAGGGAGGGGGTTGGACGTTGAAAGGAGAGGGAGGAGATGAAGGAGGAGGTGCAATCTTTGGAAAATAAGGAAGACAGAGAGAGAAAAAACAAAAGACGAAAACGCGTCCGGGTTGAAGGTGGGGTCCCCCCTCACCAACCACTCTGCCTCCTGATTTTTGTCCTCCCTTCTCCCACCTTCCTTTCTCCTACACTCCCCCCTCCCACCCTTTTCCCTCCTACCCGTTCTCCTCACCTGCCCCGCGCCTTCACAGAGCTCGGCAGCATTTGTTCCGCTCCCCTGCTGCTCCCCCTGTCCCCCCTGCTCCCCCTGCTCCCCCAGCAGCTCACTGGCCTGGTCCACGGGCACCACTACCCGCCCCGTAGCCAGCCCCAGTGCTAGAGCCGTCGCCACTGCCACCACCCTAGATGCCACCTGCTCCTCCTCCTCCACTCTTCCCCTCGCCTTCCTGCTGCACCGCCCTCCGCTCCCCCTGCTGCTGCTGATGCTGCAGGTTCGTCTTCTTGGGAGTTGAGTTGAGGCCAGGGGAGGAGCAGGAAGCGAGGCGGAGATGGTGGGGGGGTAGAGTCGGGAGGGGAGGGCGGGGGGGAGCAGGAGGAGGAGGGGAATTGGTGTAGCCAGATGTCTCGCTGAGCCACGCGGGTGAAGGGCAGGAGAGAGGTGTCTGGGCCTCGCACCTAAGTCAGGAGGTTGGGAGGGGGGGACGAGGGGGGAGAGGAGGTCGAGATAGGGATAGGCAGAGAGAAGGGGTAGAAGAGAGGCAAGGTAAGGGATGCAGGGGAGGGGAGGCAGGCATGTTGGGAATCTGAATGGCAGAAAGAAACGAACATGCGGGGGCTGAGGAATGCCTTGTGGGCAGAGTCGGTGGGCAGAGTCGGCAGGTAGGGAACAGCAACGGTGGCTAAGGCGGTGCGGTTGTGAGCATGCAAGGTGGCGAGATGAGGGAGCACCGTGACGAGAACACTGGACTTTGGGAGGTGAGGAGGTGAGAAGGTGAGAAGGTGAGAAGGTGAGGAGGAGAGGAGGAGAGGAGGTGAGAAGGTGAGAAGGTGAGGAGGTGAGGAGGAGAGGAGGAGGAGGAGGTGAGAAGGTGAGAAGGTGAGGAGGTGAGGAGGGTAGGAGGAGAAGAGGAAAGGAAAGACGTGTCACGTCAGAAGAGCGTGCAGACTGGTAGTGCCCAAGACTCAACAAGGCCAATGGTACCGACTTTTGAGGCGCCTCAAACGAGCGTGCAGACTGGCAGTGCCCGCCTTGACTCAAGAAGGCCAATGGTACCGTGAAGAGAACATGCCTCCCCCATGCCTCCTCCCCATGCCCTCCCCCCATGCCGCTTTCCCAAGCCTCCCATCCATGCCTTCCCCTCATGCCTCCCATCCATGCCTCCCACCCAAGCCTTCCCCCATTCCGCCCCCAAAACCTCCCACCCACGGCAAGCCACGAGCCTCTCCTCCATCCCATAGCCTCTCAGGCTGCAAGCCACTCACCCAGGCGAGTGATTCTTGAGAATTCTCAAAAGTTCTCTCAGGCTGCAAGCCACTCACCCAGGGCGGCCGGGGCATGGTCTTCACACGCGCCCCAACAGACATACCACTCATCACCACCTTCATCCGCCCTCCTCGCTTCCTCCTCATCCTCCTCCTCCCCCCCCTCACGCCACCCGACCCACCGTCTCTCCTTTCCTCTCCTCCACCTCCCTCTCTTCCCCTTTCCTCTTCTTCCCATTTCTCGCCTCCCCCTTCACTGCCTCCCCCTTCGCCCCCCCCACCTGCTCCCTTCATCCCCTCCGAATCAAACAACCGCCGCCCCCGCGTCTGTCCTGGCACTCCTCCCCCTCCCCCTCCCCCTCCCTCATCCCATCCTTTTCCACCCGTCTCTCTTGCATTTGATCGCCCAGGCTTTCGATACCAATCCCCCCCCAACCAGGCCAGCCACTTCCCCCCTCCGCCGGACCCCTCAACCCTCTCTCCCCCGATCCCCCCCCCTCCTGCTGCATCTCCAGGCGCAAGCGCGCGGACGTGCGCGCGAAGCAGTCCTCCAGGTGGGGCGGGGAGGGCGGGGGGAAGGGGAAGGCGGAGGCGAACGCGGAGGCTGCGGGGGTGGTGGTTGGCGGGGGAGGGGAGGAGAGGAGGGCGAAGGTTGTTTGGAGGCGGAGGAATGGCGGAGGGGTGGAGGGGGACGAAGAGAGGTGGTATTGCTCTGACCATATCTGAGGAAGCGAAGGGAGGGAGGAGAGGGAGGGGAGTCGAGGAGAGGCGAGGAGAAGAATGAAGGGTAGGTGAGAGCAGGGAAACAAGTAAATTGGCAAGATAAGGACGACGAAATGGTGCTGGTTGGGGGATGGAAGGATGGGGTCAGGAAAGGTAAGCGGACGCAGGGAGAACGGGATGATGGCTCGATGGGTGGGCCGGGAGCGCAGGAGGGGATGCCCTATATCGCTTCGCGGATGTCTGGCGGTTGCTCTCTTTCTTGCAACTCTTGCTGACTTCTGAGTCGACTCAAAAGTCACTGCGATCAGGAGGGGATGCCCTATCTCGCTTCTTGAATGTCTGGCGGTTGCTCTCTTTCTCGCAGGTCTAGCTCTTGCTGCTTCTTGCCATGTTTGATTTGACGCTCGTGACCGGAAGGTGCGAATCGCAAGCGCGACTACATCACGACGTTCCGCCCGGGCTTACACCGAGAAGCGTCTCTTGAATTGCGTATCTCGCTTGCAGCTCCCTCCTGCTCCTCCCCCTCCGCTCACCACATCCTATCTCCTCTCCTCCCTCTCCGCTCTCCCCCTCGACATAAGCGCATTCGCTCTCATCGCCTCCGTTAAAATAATCTCGAAATTCTCCGCGGCTGCTCCAATTCGCGTGAGTGTCGCGCGCGCCTGCTGTCTGCAGCAACGTTTCAGATATTGTTGCAGTTGCCGTTGTTATCGCTAGAAGCACCGCTAGGAGGCATGATTTCAACGGAAATTGACGGCTACGACGCGCATAGCGGGAGGGAGCGGCAACCTGAGTTCGCAACGCCATCGTCGGCGGCACGGAATGGTTCAAATTGCTTCACTTGCCTGCATGGTTTGCAGTGGAGCTGCTAGTTGCTGGTAAAGCATACAAAGAACTCGGCTATTATTAAGGGTCGCAATGCATCAGTTCGCGAACGCGACAGCACGTCGCTCTCTGAATGCTTGCTCAGAGTCTCTGCGTGGCTGGCTTGGCCAGGACTAACACCCAACTTGGTGAGGTGACACGAGAGTCGGTGTGCGGGTGCACGCAAGCGTGAGCCATCCCCCCTCATTATTTTCAGGTCGGATGTGCCAGGAGAATGCTGCTCAGCAGCACTACTGCTGGCACTTCCAAACAGTTCAAGGTCCACGTGGAACTAAATTACGGCAACGCATTTTGAGGCAAAACAATACGCTCCTTGAATCACTAAGTTGACCTTTCCCACCACGACTATACTTGAACAGGACTTGTTCTATAGTTCGTACCATTCGTTGTACCTCTACACAACAGCCCTGGTCATCCACTTCCAGTCCAGAGCGCGAATATTGGCTGGACACGTATGCCGCAAGGCGTTCAGCTGGCTTCGATGAACGTCCCACCCGCCCATTCCGCGGGAGGTTGACGGACCGGAAGTGCTCTGACGAGCGTCACTTTTGCTGAAATAGCAGGCGGTATGTGTCATCTTGAGTTCGTTTTCGGTGACAGATTTCGGTGTAAGAGACCGAAGCCTTCTTTTATTATTATGAACGCGGTGGTGTCTGTTCACTTGAACACCACCTAAGTCGAAACCACAATGCACGACGGGGTAGGTTGATCAGGTGCACTAGCTTACACGAGATGCAACAGGCTGGTCAACGCCTGGTGAATCGTCGTGACACTTGATTCGTTCAGCGTGATGGATGGAATCTGGAATAGTTTTCAGCACAGACGAAGCAAAGCCAAGACGAGGGATCTGTGTGCACACAGGCCTAGTAGAGCCGCAGGTATGGATCTCTCGCATCACATCGCATCGAACCGCACATCCCAGCGCTTGATGTCGCCTGCCTGGTGTGACGCTGGCAGAGCGAGCATATGATGCATGACCGCCGCGGTCCAAGAGGAGAGGGAGGAAAGAGGCCCTGCTTACTGCTGTTTTCGCGGCGAAGCAACGGTTTCCGATGCACCGCTGATCGCCTCGCTTCCTCAATTTCGAAACCACCACCTTTCCTGCGCTGCACCCACTCCTCCTGATTGGCACTCCTCGTAGTATAGCCACGATGGTGTCACCAGGATCGATCTACGGAACGCGCTCCGGCGCTCACGCGCACTCCCACTCGCATCCGCTCTCCCAGTCCTCGCACGTCCACCCGCACGCGCACGCGCCTCCTCCTCACTCTCACTCTCACGCTCCGTTGCGCCGATCGCGGCCCGCAGCGGAGGAGCGTCTGTTCGGGCCGCTAAAAGCGGAGCACGTGCTTTGGATAATCGGAATTTTGCTCTTCTATTTCTACGTCTGGGGTCGGCTATTCGGCAGCCATTCTCGCGCTCACCCGCACCCCGCCGCGCAGTCGCGCACAGCGCCGCAGGCAAACGCGCACTCTCCGCCCTTGCCCGGCGGGCCGCCGTCCGTCGCGCATAATAAAGCCGCCGCGTCTCACGCTAAGCACGGCGCGCACAGCCACTCCGCGGGCTCCGCCACGGCTGCGCGCGGCGACGCGGAGGCGAGGGGGCGATCGGCGCTGGATGCGGGGACGCTAAGTGCGGGGACGCTGGGGTGAGTGTGTCACGTCATGGGTGCGTGCGGGTCGTTTGGTTGGTTGTGTTGATTGGTTGGTCGTTTGGTTGGTGGTGGTCGAATCCTCTTGGAGTTCATTCCCACGACGACCCGCACGCAACTGAAAGGAGCGTGTTTGGATCCTCCTGAAAGAGGAATCCTGAAAAGAGGAATTCTTTCTTTCCATCATCTGTTCTCATCTCACGCTGTTCGGTTCTTTCTGCTCGTTCTCTTCCTTGCGTCGTGGCACTATCCTCGTCTCCCCCCACCCCACCCTCTTGCCCCAATCACATTCAGAGCACCGCCCCTGGCGCGCCATGCTGCGGGCACTCCGCCTGGGGGAGGCGCGCAGGGCGCAGCAGTGGCGGGTGCGGGGAAGGCGGAGGGCGCCGGGCGCGCCAGGATTGGCGGAGGAGGCGCGGATGGGCGCAAGCAGGCAGCAGGAAGGGCAGCTACGGATGGGGATAGTGCTGCTGCTGGGGCTGCTGCAGGGGGGAAGAACGGGAAGAAACTCTGGGGGGGAGGGCAACGGGGAGGGGAACGGGGAGGGGCTGGGAAGCTGGGTGTGAACAGTGGCGGAGGTGGTGTAGGAGGGGCAAAGGGGGAGGCAGAGGCTTGGGGGGAGCGAGTTGGGAAGCGTGTGGGGGAACATGTGGGGAGAGAGGAGGAGGGGAAGGAGGGGGAGGAGGAGCAGGCGGGGTACGAGGTGCCATACATAGTGCAGCGGTTTAGAGCAGGAGTGATTGACTGGCATGACTACGTGCCTCAGCCCGTGCTGCCCCTGCTCTCCGAGTGCGTGCTGCTGCTGCTGCTCCTGCTGCCACTTCTGTTCGCGCCCCACTATCAATTTCAGTCCATTCAACTATTTCTTTTCAACCGTTTACCTCACCTGCCTAACCTCCACCTCCCGTCTCGTTTTCTACTCTTCCCTGCCAGCCCTCCCTCCCTCCCTCCCTCCCTCCCTCCCTCCCTCCCTCCCTCCCTCCCTCCCTCCCTCCCTCCCAAGCGGAGGTGGGGCTTATATCTGAGAAATTTAAAGCATGGCTCCCTACTTGTGCTTTCACCCTCAAACCCGCTCCCCAAAATCCCGCTCCTCAGAATTCCCGCTTTCTCCAACCCCACTTCCCTCGTTGCCATCCCCCCTCCATCGCCACCCCGCCCGCCCTCCCTCCCTCCCCATCCCCCCGTCTGCTCCCTCCTTCCCTGTACTGACCCCTGTACACGTCCCTGCACGCACATGCCATCCCATCCCATCCAATCAAAGCACTCCCCATCTCCCCATGCGTTCCCGGCGACCCCCAGTACATACAAGAGAGGGAGGCGTACGGGCTGCATCTGCTGTCTTTGGAGTCACTTTTGAGACACGTGTGAGCATTCTCTAGAGTCTCGTTTTTCCCATGCCCTCGTCCCCCCCTCCCCTTTCCCCTGACCCCCCAGCGACCCCCAGTACATGCAGGTGAGGGAAGCGTACGGGCTGCATATGCTGTCTTGGCAGACACGTTTAAGACTCTTTTTAGCATTCTCGAGAGTCTCTTTTGTCCATGTCCTCCTCCTCCTCCCCCTCTCCTCCCGTGTGCCCCCAGCGACCCCCAGTACGTGCAAGTGAGGGAGGCGTATGGGCTGCATCTGTTGTCTTGGGTGTCACTACTGCGACACTTTTAAGAAGTCTCCCCTGTCCTCCCCCTCCCGTGTGCCCCCAGCGACCCCCAGTACGTGCAGGTGAGGGAGGCGTACGGGCTGCATCTGCTGGCGCAGGCGGAGGCCAAGGTGGCGCGCTTCTTTGCTGCTGACCCCTTCCGCCACAAGTCGCACGGCCCTCTGCTCGACCACAGGTGTGTGCGCATGCGAGTGCACGCATTTTTAGACGTCTTGAAAGGTGGTGCACTTTGCTTCTTTGCTTCTTCTCGGCTGAACTCCCATAGCTAGATGCTTGACAACAGGTGCGTGCGTGTGCGTGTGTGTGTGTGGGTGCGAGTTTTGAGGCGTCTCTTGACTCGAAAGGTGTGTGGGTGGCTTGATGCTTTGCTGCCGACCGCTGTCGTCACAACTCCCACGGCCCTCTGCTCCACCACAGGTGTGATTCCAGTCATCTCAAAGCTTGAGACGTCCCACCCCACCACATCCCATCCCATCCCATCCCATCCCATCCCATCCCATCCCATCCCATCCCATCAGAGTGTGGGGGGTGCTAAGACTGATGCGCACGGCACTCCTCTTGACGAGCCTCAAAGCCTCCGTTTCTTCCTCTCCCCCACTCCCTTCCCCGCTCCCTGCACCTCCATCCTCCTGCCCTTCCATCCCACCAGTGTGTGCGGCGTGCTATCAGACCCATGTGCCGTCCACTCGGCACGCTCCGACTGTCTATGGGACGGCTTCTGTGCGTGGTGCAGCAGCACAGACGTGTGTGTGGATAGAGCCTCACCCATGGCCGCTGCCTGCTCGCCCCACCTGGACCACCGCGACCTCTCTCCCTACCAAGACCGCATCCTCAGGTGCTGCTGCTCATTACTCTGCTGCTGCTGCTGCTGCTGCTGCTGCTGCAAATGCTCCTGTTCTCCCAACTCCCCTCTTCATTCTCCCCTTCTCAGTCCCCTACCTGCACCACCACGACCTCTCTCCCTACCAATACCACATCCTCAGGTGCTCTGTTGCTGCGCACCACTCTGTTGCTCCTGCCCTCGCTGCCGCTGCTGTTACTACTGCTGCTGCAGCTGCTTTCCCCTCTCCTCTCTCCTCACTCCCCTATCTCTTTCTCAATTGACCACCCCTCTACCCATTCTCAAACCCTTCCTCTTCTCCCCCTGCGTGTTCTCCTCTCCCTCCTCCTCTCCCTCATGCAACGAGCAGGGATGCAGCTAAGTACGTGCGGGTGGCGGCGGGAGGGGAGATGGAGCACCATTCACCCGCCAAGCAGAAACCAGCCACTGCCAATGCTGCTGTTGCGGCTGCTACTGAGGTGGAGAGCAGCAGCAGCACGAGCAGCAATGGGAGCGCAGAGTCCCCTTGCAAGATCATCATTCCCGGTCACTTCCAGGTCTGTGCTTCTTGCTCACTGCTCGCTGCTCGCTGCTGCCTGCCTGCCTCTTGCCGTCCATCCACATATGCCATCTGCGCTCCATCCATGTGTCCAGTTGTATTTATTTGCTCTCTTTCTGTATATATATGTGTATCTGTATATAGATAAGTATGTGTGGTGTGTATATGTGTGTGTATAACTATTTCTGTTTCAATCTATATCTATATATATGTGTATATACACACATACCGACATTAATAAATATGTTCTGCTATGCGCCTAGTGGTTTGCATTCACACTTGGGTACGTAGATCAGAGCCATATAGGTCTAACGTTTCAGCCAGAGATGAAGCTTGGGTCAGCAGAGCCATAGAACAATTCTAGAACTACCATCCTGTTCGCTTCGCGCACGACAATGCGTGTCAGGCACTCCCCACCCATCTCACTCTTCTGGTTCTCTTATCACACCTGTACACCCTTCTCAATTTCCCATTCTCTCCCGTCCATTAGCCAATTGTTCAACAGGACTTCTGGAGGCCGTTGTTCGCCTGCTGAGCATTCCCAAAAGTCACGTAACAGCACTAGCCCATTGTGTACCAGATCATGCACCTGAAAGCTGTTGTTCCCCACTGGCCCTGTGCATTCCTCCCCCTCTGGCCCTGTGCATTCCTCCCCCTCTGGCCCTGTGCATTCCTCCCCCTCTGGCCCTGTGCATTCCTCCCCCTCTGGCCCGGTGTATTCCTCCCCCCCTTGTGTGCGTGCAGTTCCTAACGCTGGACTACGAGGAGATGTACTGGCACTGGCTGCTCGAAAACTTTGTGCCTCTGCTGGCTGATATGCCCTACGCACGTCTCAGGTGAGTTTGCTGCTGCTGCTGGTGGTGTTTGCTGTGCTGCTGGTGTTGCCTCCCACTTGTTGCCTGCCTTGTGTTACTATAGCAGCACTCCAGCAGAGCACGCTGTTTGCGTGCCATCATCTCTGCCTTCCATGTCCTCCGCTTCTTCCACTGGCCTCCCTCTCTTAATCCATCTCCCATCACTCACTCCCCTCGCTTCTCCCCCTCCCCATTTCCCCTGTCTTCGGCTTGCCAACAACTCTCTGTCCCTCTCCCTCCACTCCTCGTGGCCCTTATTTCCCCCTCCAACCCCCACACCGCCCACCACCCCATCGCACACATGCACTTCAGTCTCACTCGCGTAGCACCTCCACCCGCCACCTGCGGTTTATAAGACCCCTAACACCTCCCGCGGCTCTCTCTCCCTGTCCATCTCCCTCTCCCTTCCTCGTGGCCCTACTTCCTCCCCACCCACCCTCTCATCCTCCTCTGTACAGGGACATGCGGACGCACTTCATTCTCACGCGTAGCACCTCCACTCGCCACCTTCCCTTCCTCGGCCTCCTCTCCCAGGCAAGCCCTATCTCTCTCCCAGGCAAGCCCCCTCTCTCTCCCAGGCAAGCCCTCTCTCTCTCCCAGGCAAGCCCCCTCTCTCTCCCAGGCAAGCCCTCTCTCTCTCCCAGGCAAGCCCCCTCTCTCTCCCAGGCAAGCTTTCATGACCTGCTGTTCCCTTCTCAGGCCATCCCTCGGATTGCCAAGCTCTCTTCTCTTGCCCTCTTCCCCATCTCTCACTGCCCAGTAGTGTTGGCGGTCGCTAGAGGACAAGCAGGACGGAACATGTCTGGTGGAGGAGGAGACAAGGGAATGGAAACTGGCCAACACTCTCACTCCAACACTCACTCCAACACTCTCTCTTCTTCCCATCCTCTCCCACTCCCACTTTCCCGACCTCCCCCACCTCCCAGTCGTGCTGGCGGTCACCGGAGGACATGCAGGAGGGCACGTGTCTGGTGAACCTGGGGGAGAGCACGCGTCTGGAGGAGTCAACGGGTTGCTGACTGCTGCATATTTCCGTATTTCCTGTGTCCCCCCTCTCCCTCATTCTCCAGTCGTGCTGGCGGTCGTTGGAGGACATGCAGGAGGGAACGTGTCTGGTGGAGGAGACAAAGGAGGAGCAGCTGCGGTTCAACATGGACCACCCCTCCGCCTTCGCCTCCGCTGCTGCCCGCCTCATCGACCGCACTGCACCGCACTTCATCGTTGACCGCCTCAACCTCTCGCACATCCCGGCTCCGACCAAGCCACAGGCACGTGGGGTGATGGGAGGGGTGGGATGGCACGGGGAATTCATGCTCCCTCAGACACAGGCGTGGGCACAGGCATGGGCATAGGCACGGGCATAGGCACGGGCATAGGCATGGGCACTGGCATGGGCACTGGCATGGGCACAGGCATGGGCAAGGGCACACAGACATGCCCATTTGCATTGCATTGCTGTACCAATTTCCACTGCCCTCTCCTTTCCTTTCCTCTCCTCTTCCTCTCTCCTCCTCTCCTCCTCTTTCCTTCTCCTTCTCCCCCCCCCTCTTCTTCCCTGTCCTCATCTCCCCCTCTCCTCTTCTTCCCTCTCCTCATCTCCCCCTCTCCTCCTCTTCCCTCTCCTCATCTCCCCCTCTCCTCTTCTTCCCTCTCCTCATCTCCCCTCTCCTCTTTTTCCCTCTCCTCATCTCCCACTCTCCTCGTCTTCCCTCTCCTCATCTCCCCCGCTCCTTCCCCTCTTCTCACCCTTTACGCTCATGTCTCCCTGCCTGCCCCTCTCATGTCCACTCTAACCACTCCTCCGCCCTTCCTCCCCACACACTTCTTCCCCACACACTTCTCCCCACACACTTCTTCCCCACACACTTCCTCCCCACACACTTCCTCCCCACACACTTCTTCCCCACACACTTCCTCCCCACACACTTCCTCCCCACACACTTCCTCCCCACACACTTCCTCCCCACACACTTCTTCCCCACACACTTCCTCCCCACACACTTCTTCCCCACACACTTCCTCCCCACACACTTCTTCCCCACACACTTCCTCCCCACACACTTCTTCCCCACACACTTCTTCCCCACACACTTCCTCCCCACACACTTCTTCCCCACACACTTCTTCCCCACACACTTCCTCCCCACACACTTCTTCCCCACACACTTCCTCCCCACACACTTCCTCCCCACACACTTCCTCCCCACACACTTCCTCCCCACACACTTCCTTTCCACACACTTCCTCCCCACACACTTCCTCCCCACACACTTCCTCCCCACACACTTCCTCCCCACGCCCATTCCACCGCTCTCAGCTTGTCCCAACAATTTCTTCTCCCCAACAGGGACTCTGTGGTATTGTCAACAATCCTGTCTGTTCTCTTCTGCTCCACGCCCGTTATCCCTCAACTTCCCCGTCTCCCCTGTTCCCCCTTCCCCTTCAGCCCTCCCCTTTCCCCCTTCATGTCCCGTTACCCTCTTTCCGTCTCTCCCCTCCCACGGCTCAAATTCTCCTGCTGGCTCGTTTGTGCTGCCACTCGCATGTCGACTTTTGAGTCGACTCAAAACTCTCAACTCCCACGGCTCAAATTTACCTGTTGGATCGTTTGTGCTGCCACACAACACGCAGGTCTGTCTGCCTGCGTCACACCCCTTGCACTGGTTCTCCTGGTCCAGAAACAGCCCTTCACCTCTCTCTCCCTCCACACATCAGGGTTCTCCTGGTGGCCCGTCGGCGGCGTCGCCAGCTCCTGAACGAGGACGCACTAATAGCCGCCACACTCACTTCTGTCTCTTCTGCCTTTCTGCCTCTCACCCCTCTCCCCCTCCCCGCCGTTTCAGGTTCTCCTGGTAGCTCGTCGGCGGCGTCGCCTGCTCCTGAACGAGGACGCGCTACTAGCCTCCACGCGTGCCATGGGCCTGCCCATCTCCGTCGCTGTCTTCGAAGATCTCCCGCTCTACGAGCAGATCCGGGCCGTCCGTTCCTGCGCCATCCTGGTGGGCGTGCACGGCTCCGGTCTCCTCAACTCCATGTTCCTCCACCCCGGCAGCGTACTCGTGCAAATCGTCCCGTACAACACCACCGGCGCGGACCGCTTCTACGAGCCGCAGGTTCGGCAGGCCGGAGGCTCGTACATGGAGGTCCGGGTGACGAACCGGAGCGACAGCGTGTTCCACTGGCACTTGGCGGAGGACCATGGGAGCAAGGTGGGCACGGCGGAGGAGAGAGAGCAGTTCTTACAGCAAGGGCCGGACGTGCAGCGAGCTTCGGATGTGTTTTTTAGCTTCTGGGTGAACCAGGATGTGCATGTGCCTGTTGGGGAGTATAGGAGAGTTATTGGCGAGGCTGTGGCTGCTTGGGAGCAAGGGCGGAAGCAGCAGAAGCGGCAGCGGAACGAGGAGCAGCAGAGGGCAGATTGGGCAGAGGAGGAGGAGGAGGGGGATGCAGGGGTTGCAGGTGGAGGAGGGCGTGGTGTTAGGGAGGGCAGGGACGGCAGTAGAGAACAAGGATAGTGTTAGTTTGTGTAAGGTAGGACTATGAAGCAAGGCACGGTATGGTACAGTGTGATGACGACCCGATGGTGCGTGGGTCAAGGTGACGTCACATCCCATTCCACCCCCCCTCTTCCTCAAAGCCAGCAGGCAACATAGGTGCAGGAAGGATATTTATATACCATGGCATGCCATTTGGGTGCCTTAACCAATACATCCCAAGATGACCTCCATGGACAGGTAAACCTGATTCTCGCCAATTCTAAGCTTCACCAGGGAAACGCACCAAAGGACAAACCCCTCCTGCCCACCTGATGCCAAGGGCTGCTAGGTGACCGTTTCATTATTGCAATATGAGGGTTGAAAAACAGAATATGGTAACTACTGGTAAGAGTCTACAAGGCAAGTTGTAAGGAATTTTCTCGAATTCCTTATCGGGGTTGACTGCTGCGCGTACAACCCGATTTTCGGAGTTCGCACGTTCGGGCGATTTCCACGCTGCCGAAGCTCCTCGCGTCGCCTTCGGCATTTCCATCGCCAAACCTGCACCCAACCTCGCTCACCCGAGGTTTCCTCCTAGCTAGGCTAGCCTACATTAGTTCTCGCATTCATTGTATTCTCAGATTCATTCAGTCACAGCCTCGTTATTCGTTTACCTGCGCACTCTCTTTTACAACTCATAACACCTGGTATCAGAGCTACTTTCCTAGTTCACCCCGCTTTTCAAGGGTAGTTTGGTGGCATAGGGTGTGGTTGGTTTAGTGACTACACGACGGTTGGCTGCAGAGGTTGTTAACTCAACCCTGCCCGACTCCGATAGTTCGTGTTTTCACTTGCTGGGCAGCCACGGGTACCCAACTGCCCACCAGACGTAGTGCTAGAAACATGGATCAGGAGGCTGTTAACCGACTGATGGCGCAAGTGGCAGAAATGGCGAGGGGCATGGAATCGCTGTCAAACTATATGTGCTGCATATTGTCTAGGCTGTAGTGGGGTAGCCCATATGGGGTACAACCCAATTAGGGTTTACTACTTGTACTCCTGCATCCTGTTAGTTCACATCATTCCTGCTGCTAGATTCTAACATGGTTTCAGAGCACTAAGGTCCGTAGGACCGTTTTTTTTTTCGGGCCCACCTACCGCTGCAGTTACCGCGCTACCCCACGTGCCTGCCTGCCTTGCCTTGCCTTGTGACGTGCTGCCCTAGGCCGGTGCGCTGCCCCTAGAGGCCCGTAAGGCCCGCGCGCCGCCTCTACACGCCTGTCAGGCCCGCACACACACTTCTACCGCGCGCTGCCCGCACCGAGACCGCGCAGCCCGCCCCGAGTCGCGCGCAGCCCGCTGCAGCCACGCGCAGCCCGCACCGAGCCGCGCGCAGCCCGCTGCAGCCGCGCGCAGCCTGCACCGAGCCGCGCACAGCCCGCTGCAGCCGCGCGCAGCCCGCACCGAGCCGCGCGCAGCTCGCAGCTGCCGCGCGCAGCCCGCGCCGAGCCCACGCAGCCCGCGTCGAGCCGCGCGCGGCCTGCTACGGCCTCGCGAGGCCCGCGCGCGGCCCGCAGCAGCCCGCGCCGAGCCGCGCGCGGCCTGCTACTGCCTCGCACGGCCCGCGCGCGGCCCGCAACAGCCCGCGCCGAGCCGCGCGCGGCCCGCTACTACCTAGCGCGGCCGCGCGCGGCCTGCAGCAGCTCCGGGCGCTGTCCGCGCAGCCCGCGCCGAGCCGCGCGCGGCCCTCTGCCTCGGCCTCGACCTGCCGCTGATGCGGCCCCGCCCTGCAGCTGCCGCGGCCCCGACCTGCCGCTGATGCGGCCCCGCCCTGCAGCTGCCACGGCCCCGACCTGCCGCTGACGCGGCCCCGCCCTGCAGCTGCCACGGCCCCGACCTGCCGCTGATGCGGCCCCGCCCTGCAGCTGCCACGGCCCCGACCTGCTACTGCCGCTGAAGCGGCCCCGCCCTGCAGCTGCTTCGGCCCTGCTCTGCAGCCGGTGTTGCGGCCCCGATGTCGCCGCTATCGAGCGCCGGCCCTGCTCGCCCGGTGAGCGCCTGCTCTCCCAGCCTTTGGTGAGCGACTGCCTGCCTGCCTGACGGCCTGCCTGCCTGCCTGCCTGCCTGCCTGCCTGGCTGCCTGCCTGCCTGCCGGCCTGCCTGCCTGCCTGCCTGCGCGCCTGCCTGCCTGCCTGCCGGCCTGCCTGCCTGCCTGCCGGCCTGCCTGTCTGTCTGCCTGCCTGTCTGCTTGCCTGCCTGCCTGCCTGCCTGCCTGCCTGCTTGCCTGCCTGCCTGCCACGCCTGGTCAGATGCAGCTCCAGCGACGTTCACGCGAGCCTCTCACGCCCCAGCAGCTTGATGAGTGGTATACTAGCTGGGGTTGTCGCGGTAGCCGTAGTAGCTGTCGCCCTGGGGCTGGTCAGTTGGGAGCGTCTAGCAGTGGCCAGCTGCAGCTGCAGGGGCGTCCACGCGAGACACTTACGCCTCGGCAGCTCCAGGAGTGGTACGCTCAGTGTAGCAGGTCTACACGTACAGTTCGCTGCCCGTACGTCATTCGCACAGGTGCTAGGACTGGTCAGCCTTGTGGGACGCTTGGTCACACACAGTCCCGCTGCTTCGCCCGTCTGAGCGACGACTGGCGCACAGTGTTTGGCGACGAGGCTGAGCTCCCCACCTGGCTGGAGCTGTCAAACATTGTATGTTTATATTGTGTAGGCTGTAGTGGGTTACACCTTAGGGGGTACACAAAGTTAGGGTTTCCTACTTGTACCAAACTCTGTGCTAGTTCATTTCATTCCTGCTCAGGTATTCTGACATGGTATCAGGGTGATGGTGCGCCGTGCTCTGTCCCGGGTGATCCGCAAGCCAAGATAGCTCGTCAGCTCACCCAGGTCTGTGCACGTGTGTCTCCTCTGCAGCTCCGACTTCACGTGGGCGAGTGCCGCGGTGTCAGCTCACAGGGCACTCAGACGCTTCTTGGGCAGACGACCAGGCTACTCAGCGGTCGTCCCAGGGTTACACCTTCAGCCTTGGCTCTGGCTCAGTCTCTTGGCGTTCTACTCGCTGTTCTTCTGTTCTCAGCTCCAGTTGTGAGGCTGAGATCTACGCCACAGCCATGGCTGCTCAGGAGCTACGCTGGCTGACCTACCTGCTGACCGACCTCGGAGAGCGGCCTCGTTCTCCTCCAGTGCTGTACGTCGACAACAAGGCTGCCATTGCCTTGTGTGAGGAGCACAGACTGGAGCACAGAACGAAGCACATCGCTCTGCGGTACTTCCTTGCTCGAGAGCTGCAGCAGCGTGGTCAGCTTTGTCTGCGTTACGTGGCCACGGAGGCCAACACTGCTGATGTGTTCACCAAGGCGCTTCAGCCTTGTGACCATCAGCGCTTTTGCACTCTGCTAGGCCTTGTACCTACTGGGCCTCACTTGCTTACCTCTTGACCTTGCTTGTACTGTGATCACTATATATATATATGCCTACTTGTTTACTTTTGCTAGGTTGTGATCACTGTATCTCTTGCTTTGTTATAAACCTGCATGTGAACTGGTCTTGTGACCGCTTGCTTGTGCTCGGAATTTGTGTGGAATCCTTGAGATCCACCCTGAGCTTGCTTTGCTTTGCTTTGACTGGTCTTGTGACCCTGTGGTTGTCTCCCACTGCGCCTATGGGGGTGTGTCAAACATTGTATGTTTATATTGTGTAGGCTGTAGTGGGTTACACCTTAGGGGGTACACAAAGTTAGGGTTTCCTACTTGTACCAAACTCTGTGCTAGTTCATTTCATTCCTGCTCAGTTATTCTGACAGGAGCTGCATGGACAGGGGGTAGATATCTTTGCGCCTGACTATGATGCTATTCTCACTGCCATGTATGCATTGTCTACTAGTGCTGACCGTGCCTGTTGCCTGTGCGTACCGCCTGACCCTGGTGAGGCTGCTGCTCTAGGTGCTAGTGCGTCTCCTGCTCTAGGTGCTGGTGAGGCTGCTGCTCTCGGTGCTAGTACGTCTACTGCTCTAGGTACGGGTGAGGCCGTGGCTTCAGGTGCTGCCGTGTCTGCTCTCTCTGGTACTGCGCCCACTGCGGTCTCACACACCTTCACCCTTGACTCAGGAGCTTCCCGCTCCTTCTTTCGCGACTGCACCGCACTCACGCCGCTCCGTCGGCCAGTCCCGGTCTCCCTGGCGGACCCCTCTGGGGGTCCAGTCCTTGCCCACTATTCCACGGTTCTGCCGTGTCCGGCCGTCCCGTCCGGCTCGCTGTCAGGTCTTTACCTCCCCTCGTTCTCTACGAACTTGGTGAGTGGAGCTGACCTCCAGGATGGGGGGGTTCACCAGTTCACTCCTGCGAGTCAGCGAGTGACTCACTGTACGTGTGCTAGGACGGGCCGGCACTTGGCCACGTTCACCCGTGCACCTGGCTCGAGTCTGTACACACTGACCACTGAGTCCCCTCAGGTAGCTGCGTCTGCGTCTACGTCTGGTCAGCTGGCGGCCCCCTGCGAGTGTCGCGCTTTGTCGCACGACACTCTCCTGTGGCACCACCGTCTTGGTCACCCCTCCTTGCCTCGCCTGCGTAGCATGCACTCTCGCTCCCTGGTCTCTGGTCTCCCCAGGACTCTGCCTGCCCTCCCTCCCTCGCCTGCGCCGCCCTGCATTCCTTGCGTCGAGGGGCGGCAGCGCGCCGCTCCTCACTCCTCCTCGTTTCCTCCCACAGAGGCTCCACTGCAGACGCTCCACCTGGACGTGTGGGGCCCAGCCCGCGTCCAGGGACAGGGCCGCGAGCGGTACTTCCTGCTGGTTGTCGACGACTACACGCGTTACACCACGGTCTTCCCCTTGCAGAGCAAGGGGGACGTCCCTGATGTTTTGATCCCTTGGATCCGCGCTGTTCGTCTCCAGCTCCACGAGCGGTTCCGGCGGGACTTTCCTGTCCTGCGTCTGCACTCTGACAGAGGTGGTGAGTTCTCCTCCGACCTCTTGGCAGCCTACTGTGCGGAGCACGGCATCACCCAGTCGTTCACGCTTCTGGCCTCTCCGCA